ACGGACGGCCTGGCTGGAGCCGGTGTGAGACCTTCCCGGGGTAGGTAATCCCCTTTTTGGGCATGCTGTGGGTGGCGGGGAGGTGCCCCATCAGGTGCTGGAAACCAGGTGGGTTCCCATCCATGGGAGCGTCTCGAGATCCACAGAAACATCTCACGATCCATGGGAGCATCTTGAGATCCATGGGAGCGTCTTGAGATCCAGGCAGTGTTTCATGATCCATGGGATCACTTCATGGACCATGGGATCACCTCATGGACCATGGGAACACCTCGAGATCCATGGGATCATCTCATGGACCATGGGAACACCCTGAGATCCATGGGATCACCTCATGGACCATGGGAGCACCTTGAGATCCATGGGATCACCTCATGGACCATGGGATCACCTCATGGACGATGGGAACACCTTGAAATCCATGGGATCATCTCATGGACCATGGGATCACCTTGAGATCCATGGGATCACCTCATGGTCCATGGGAACACCCTGAGATTCATGGGATCACCTCATGGACCATGGGATCACTTCATGGACCATGGGAGCACATTGAGATCCATGAGATCACCTCATTGACCATGGGAACATCCTGAGATCCATGGGATTACCTCATGGACCATGGGAGCACCTTGAGATCCATGGGATCACCTCGAGATCCATGGGATCACCTCCCACCTGTAGCTGCCGGATCTCCATGGGGGGGGTCACAGCAGCCATTCCCCCTCTCCCTGTGTCTGCGTATCCCCGTATCCCCGTATCCCCGTATCCCGTATCCCCGTATCCCGTATCCCCGTATCCCTGTATCCCCGTATCCCCGTATCCCCCTATCCCCATATCCCTGTATCCTGTATCCCCGTATCCCTGTATCCCGTATCCCCGTATCCCTGTATCCCCATNTCCCTGTATCCCCGTGTCCCTGTATCCCCGTGTCCCTGTATCCCCGTATCCCCGTATCCCTGTATCCCCATATCCCTGTATCCCGTGTCCCTCCCGCCCAGGAGGACGTTATGTCCGGCTATGTCCGGCTGCTGCGGCGGCAGGTGGAGCAGGCGTTCCGGAGCAGCCGCATGGTGGCCGTGTGCCAGTACAACTCCATGCCGGACGAGGACGTGGTCACCATGCGCCACTACCTGCGCAAGCACAACATCGAGGTCAAGTTCGTGCTCAACGAGGTGGGCGCCCATCCCGGAGGGGAGGTGTGGGGGGAGAGGGGTGCGTCCTGGGCTGCTCCAGGCGTCACTCCCAAGGCGTTTTCCAGATTGTCCGGCCGGTGCTGGAGCAGTCCAAGTACAGGAACCTCCTCCCGCTCTTCGTGTGCCGCAACATCCTGCTGGTGAGCCCGGAGACCCGGGCCCGGGAGATGCTGCGGGTGCTGAAGGGAATCCCACAGGTCAACCTCCTGGGTGAGGGCATTCCCTGCTCCCCAGATCCCGGCGCTGGGCTCCTCCAGGGCTGGGAAGGAGGGTCCAAGCCGATGGATTGGAGGGGTGGGAGCCTGAAGGAGCAAACAGTTCCTTCGTGGAATGCTCTGTTATCCCATATCCTGCTCTCTTCCAGGCGCCTGCATCGACGACACGATCCTGAGCCGGCGGGGAGTGGAGAACTTCGCCCAGCTGCCCTCCCTGGAGGCCTCCCAGGGGCAGATGGTGGGAGCCCTGGCCCTCCTGCCCTCCCAGACCTCATCCCTGCTCCAGCGCGGGCCCTCCCTCCTCACAGCGCTCCTGGATGAGCACATCCGCCGGCTCCGGGACACGGGGGCGCCTGGGAAGCCCCCCCAGGAGCAGGGAAAGGGGAATCATTGATGCTGGGCCCTGGGATCGGCTCCTTCCCCACTGTGGGAGCCCCCCCAGGGCACAGGGAATGGCTGGCATTGGGAACTGGCTGCTTCCTTGGATGTGGGACATGGTGGGAACCTGGGGAGCACCCCCCGGCCTGGAATGTGGGAGTTCAGACTGTGGGAATTGGCTCCTTCCCCAGCTGGGGGGCATGGGGGATCCCAGGGAGACCCCCCCAGACTGGGACACAGGGAATCACTGACGCTGGACCCCGGGAATCGGCTCCTCCAGCTGCAGGACACAGGGAATCACTGACTCCAGGCCCTGGGAATCTGCTCCTCCAGCTGCAGGACACAGGGAATCACTGAC